AAAATAAAACAAATGTTAAAGAAATAAAAAATGTATTTATATACATACACCTTTTATATAATAATTGAATAAATATATTTTTCACTTTATTTTATAAGAGATAAATAAATATATTTATTGCACCCTCTTTAGGAGGCATTGAGTCTGGAGTCACGCTGGCAGACGTGTGGTGCTACATGTCTCTGCTGGATAATTGGAATCTGGTGTCTCGGATGACAGTCCCGCGGGGAGTGGCTGGGAACCTGGATAATGTGGCAAGGTACCATGCAATAAAGCTGCTGTTTGAATTAAACATTTGATTGGAAGCCATTAGGCGTTTCAGATAAGTGTGTGGTCAGCTCTTTCTGTGCTGGGGGCCAATCTGATAATTGGATCTGTGCTGAAGTATGGAGGGAGTATTTTGCTGGCAGGTGACTGCGGCACAGATTGGATCGGGTTTCTCCGCTGCCGTGGACTGGAGCTATAATCAACCGTTACACTGAGGTCGTGACACGGTCAGTCGCTTTAAAAGGAACGGGATGTCAAAATGACAAGATGATGTCAACACAAACCACATTGGCATTTGAAAACCATTTTATAGTTGGGAATATTGAAATCTACTAATTTCTTCATGCAGAATCACCTTTATGACATGAAGAATCAATTTGTATTCGTTCTTCTGGCACTTACATACAGTTTCCATCTCACTGCTTCTGTCGGCTCTTTATTCTGGTCTTGCGAAGCCAGACTTTTGACTATCAGCATAAAGCTGAGCTTCACAGTGTAGCTTATTCTGACAAAAAAAAACTGTTCCATTCGTCAAACCTTTTTATTTTTACTTCTTTCAACAAATGCCCTCAAATGCCAAGGCTGCCTGACTGACGTAAAATTAAATGTAATGTAATATTATTTTGTATATTTATTGTACCATACTAAATTGTTGTGTTAATACAAAAAATTATTTTAATTATATGTATTAAAAATAATATATATAAATATTTTATATTTACTAATATATACATATATAATTTTTCAAAAACAGCTATATATATACTTGTGTGTAATTTTTTGTAATTTTATTGATTTTTAATTTTTTATATAATTTTTTATTTGTTATAAATGCAAGATATATATACAGAATATTTTCAATATAATCGATTCAATATCGAAAAATTATAAATGATATATTTATATATATTTTTTTTTTTTTATTTTTTTTTTTTTTATTATTTAGTATTGCATTCTGTTGAAAAATATGCAGTCTATTGGATTCAACAGCTTTTTGTCAAAAGGCAAAATCATGCAAACAAGTTGATGTCATGAATATCATGATTATTGTCTACAAAAAGAAAGTCTCTAAACTCTGAAAGTGTATTAAAGCCAGATAATCAGATTGCAGCCGGTCATTTCTCTGAGCTTTACCACTGTTGTGTGCAGTATGAATGAGACTCATGAACAGTCCGCTGAGACTCGGTCTGATTGACAGAAGCGTGGAGGTTTGTTAGTGGGCTTGTGAGAGAGGGAGAGCACCCACTGCACCCCGTTGACTCCTAATTTATAGCCCATCATCCATCTTGCCTGCAGTTTCACGCTCATAAGCATGACATGTACTGCGATCACATGATGTCTTCAGTCAGTCCGCGTCTCAAGGCTGCCGTCGGGCCGATCGGGAGCAGCAGCAAGGTGCTCTTGCTGTTTGTCATCGATTCGCTCTTATTTTTTATGGCTCTGTTTGGAAACTCAGTGAGTTGCCTTGCATAGACAGCTGCCTGGTCACATCAGAACTCAAGTAAACTTGAGATGATTTGAAACTCTGATCGGTGAGCTGCTCTGGTGCTCGGTGAGATAAAAAAGCTGCCCGTCTGTACCTGCAACCTTCATAACATCTGTGGAGTTTCCAGAGGATTTGATGACTAATGAGCCTAAAAGAAGCCAAATGTAAATAATTGACAAATAACACCTAGAATATAGATAAAAGCTTGTTGCAGTGCATTCTCCCCGTAGGATATTTGTGATGTTTTTGGCTGAACGGGCATCTTAGAAGTCATCATAATGCTGCAGATTATTTTTTGGAGTGTGTTTCAAAACACTCCCTGTGGATGCAGCTCAGTAGGTTTTGGAATTGAGAATATATATACACCTCACTAATTGCCAAAGGCAAATTCTTTTGCTAGTGCAAGTTAAGTGAGTAAATAAATAATGAGTGACTGGTAACTTTATGCAAGTACTTATTTGGCTGGTTTTCAGTCATTTTAATGCCACAAAGAAGAGAGATTTGCATAGTTACTGACTATACTGAGCATCTCAATTTTATTTACAATGAATATTGCAAGTATTAGTGCGTACAAGTCCATTAGCACAGTAATGAAGCTGATATCAAGGTTGTTTCTTCCTTAATGCACATTCTTGGTCTTGTTCTTAAGGATTCATCATTGCTGAAGAAAACAAGAAAAACAAGAGACATTTTTTTCCATCCAATCAAGCCAAAAATCATAGGTCTGATTGCTTAGGTTATAATCTAAGCAGTTACTGATTACTGCATTAGATACACTACTGTTCAGAAGTTTGAGCTGAGTAAATTTTGTTTTAATGCCATAAAAAGAAAGATTGAGCAAGATACTGTTGAGCGTCTACATTTTATATAAAATGAATATTGCAAGTATACTTAATTCCTAGAGCATTTTAGTGAGCACAAGTCCATTAGCACAGTATTGAACCTGATATCAAGGTTTTTCGTAGTAGTAAAAGTAGTAAAGCAGTTAGTGATTATTATTGTTTATAATTACAGATACAGTACCATTCAAATGTAAACGTCATTCTTAGAGGGCTTAGCTAGTTTAGCACAGTATTGAACCTGATATCAAGGTTGTTGTGTCTATAATGTCTAAAGCATATACTGTATATATTATTTCAAAGGCAGCATGAAATTAAAAGTGAATTTATTTACTTCTCTAATGCACATTCCGTATTGTGAATGATTCATTAGTGCATGTTAGTCCAAAGAAAAAAAGATACATTTTTACATCTAAATAAGGTCTGATTACTTGGGTAATAATCTAAGCATTTAGTGATAGAGATAAATGCACTGCCCAGAAGCTGGCCTCAATAAGATTTATGTATTTATTTATTTCTATCTATCTATCCATCTATCCTTCTATCCATCCATCCGTCCAGCTGTCCATCCATCTATCCATCCATCCATCCATCCATCCATCCATCCATCTATTTAAATACCACCAAAAAGACAGATGTGCATAAAGTTACTGGTCACCATTGAGCATCATTATTATATTTACAATAAATATTGAATGTATTGTATGCATTGCATTCAGTATTGCATGCATTGCATTCTTCATTCATAGAGGATTTTAGTGAGTACAAGTAAATTAGCACACTATTGAATCTGATATCAAGGTTATGCATCCATAATGTCTAAAATGTATGCATATATGCTTTAAAGTCAGCATGAAATTAGAATTGATTCTATTTACTTTTTAAATGCACATTCCTGGTCTTATTGTAAATAATTCATTAGTGTATGTTAATCCAAAGAAAAAAAGAGACACTTTTACCATCCAATCAAGCCAAAAATCATAGGTCTGATTACTTGAGTAATAATTTAAGAGTTACTGATTACTGTGTTTATAATGAGAGTAGATGCGGTACCATTCAAAAGTTTGGGGTCAGTAAGATATATTACTTTTTTAATGCCAGGCATGGCATTTGGATTTGAATGGATTTTTTTTATCAGTTAATTTCATTGCATTTCATTTCATTTCATTTCATTTCATTTCATTTCATTTCATTTCATTGCATTGCATTTCATTTCATTTCATTGCATTGCATTGCACATTCCTGGTCTTATTGTGAAGAATTCATTAGTGCATGTTATTTCAAAGGAAAACAATAATAATTTTACCATCCAATCAGGGAGAAAATGTTGTAAAATCATATGTTGTTGATAATATTTTAGGTGATTTGTGATTATTATTGTTAATAATTAGGATAGTAAAAGATTGGAGTTAAAAGGGTTTGGTAAAATGTATTTACTTTTTGTTACAGAATACAGAATGCTACAGAAAAGAAAGATTTGCATTAAGTTCAGCAGTGGCCGCTGAGCATCTCCATTTTATTTACAATAATTGTTGCATGCATTCGTAAAGCATTTTAGTGAGTACAAGTACTGAACCTAATAGCATGATCATTGCATTTTTCATTTCTGAAATCTGCATGAAGTCGAGCTCCATGGCAGGCTGCTCGTGTTGAGACAGCTGTATTTAGTGGGCGAAGGAATTCTCATTTTGACGGCATTATACACAAACACAGCTTGTGTATCTGCACCACATGTTCACACCGGCTCATCAAATGTCATATTTGTGCACTGAATCCTGGTACTAATCGTGGTGGCCAACGGCGTGCTCTCGCGGGGCGTCTCCTAACCTTTCGCAGTCTTGAAATACCACACCCCTCGAGTCCAGCCCTCCGACGGCAGCGAGAGGACGCTGATTATTCTGACAGCGTGCCCCATTCCAGCCCAATCAGCAACACTTACTGTTTAATTGCTCTTTGATGATGGATTCCGGTCGTAAAGCCACAGTCTGGCACTTTGAGTTGTCCTTCCATGTCTTTAGCTCTGAAATGACTAGGAACGGGAGTGAAAACAAGGGGCAGAGGGGTGAGCAGCGGCTCTAGGGAGTTTATTTTCTCGGTGTCATGCAGTCATGACTTTGGCACTCTCACAATGCTGTGTAATGCTAGCTAAAGCCAAATGCACAACTGCTCCAATTAAAGCACTAAATCTGAACTTGAATGTGCTCTGACATAATGGGTATGTTATGTAATCATTAACCAAAAAGGAAATATTGTTTTGATTATCGTATTCAGCTAAAAACATCATCAACATGGATCACCAAGTACATGCTGTAAACTTGAAATTAAAAGCAGGAAATAATAAAACTCTATTTACTTTATTAATACACATTCCTGGTATTAATGTGAATGATTCAGCAGTGTATGTTAATCCAAAGAAGAAAATAGTTTACAGTTGTTACAATTGCAGTTAATTACACTACCATTCAAATGTTTTATTTTATTTTATATTTTATTTTGTTTTTATTTTAGTTTTGTTTATTCTTTAATTATTTGTATTTGAAAAATAAATACATCTTTTTTTATGTTAATTTATTCTATTTGTAATTTTTTTTTATTAAAGAAATAAATATTTACGTTTTTTAAAGAATTTAATTTTATTCAGCAAGGACACATTCAATTTATTAAAAT